GAGCGTTTTGTTGTCAATAGGCCGCAAAGTAAATACTGATATATTTAACTAATCCTGTATGATTATGGGCTAATTGTTTCTGGTCGCCGGACTCTTTAATGATAGTTTACAATTCATCCGACAAACGATTGATCCAATTTTGGGGTCATCAATCCTTGTCGATATTCTTAATCCGTAGACTACCGTTCTTGGGGCGGGCGACTGGTTATTTTGAAAATCTATGTCTAAGAGAGTCCATGCTCGGGTTATATCAGAAATCAGAACAGGTTTCAACTTTACGTTTCCATCTAGACCCACTATCTTTTTTTTCCATTTCTGAATGTGATTAATTGTTTTAAGGCATCTTGATGATTTTGTACCACAGATTCAGAAAAATGCTTCTTAAATGTAACATAAGTAGTTCACTTTCAACCCCACGAAGAGCAGGGCAATCAGTCGACCTTCATATTCAGGCGTTAACACTTTAACTACTTCACCTGTTGCTGCTGTGGTGGTGGTAGCACTGGAGATGTTCTCTATTTCCTTAATTTTGGTCTCAAATCCATGATGGTCTTCTGAAGGAAGTTCCCTATCATGTTCTTTATTGTTTAGAGCTTGATTATATCGACAAATCAGCGTATTTATTATATATACACCTTTGGCTTCCAGGTTTTCTTCTTGAATGATTTCATAAACCTGTATTAATTTTGAGGAGAGCTTCAAAATCTTCACATAGATGTTGTAACCTAATCATAGAAGCTTGACATGCTTTTTTTTTATCTCGTCTGTCTTCGTGGCCATCGTTATGTACAAGTTGCTAATTTTTCAGAATGCGATATTAACTTGAAACCCAGAAGTCGCATAGGTGCGGTGGTGGCAGCGGATATAAATACTGAAAGCATAAAACTGTCTGTGAACTATGATCATGTATTTGTTGAAAGAGTGTTACAGACAGCAACATCATTTGGTATATGCGTTCTAGTGCATAGCTCTTCTACAAAGGCTGAAACATTGCGAGGTAAGCGAGGGCCAGTCACCCGTACTGCTGTAATACATTTCGAAGGTAGAACTACAGGAGTTTTTCCGGCGACCTTCACAAATCCAAGATGGTTCGTTGCGCCTTGGTACAATGTTTCCAAATATGCTTAAATTAGCCAGGATAATCCCAATGTAAGGCAGTTCAAGTCCATTTGCTGCACGAACAGTGAGAAATGAAGTTTCAAGAAGGTCAGCTGAAGATTTCAAATATTTCTCATAAAATGACTGTACGATAGTTGAAACTTGAGATCCAGTATCAAATAAAAATCTGCAAGTTGCATTCTCAATTTTAACATCAACCAAAGGGCAATCCCCGAACTAAAACTAAAACTAGAATCTTTTAATGTTATTTCTTCTGAAAGAGCTATAGCACCTCTTCGTGATCTTTAATCATTTTCTGACCATTCCAAGGCACTCTGTCTCACGTCGAGGAAAGACAACCCTGGATTTTCTCTAATTTGTTTCTTTATTTCCTTGCATAGGTAGGAATCGCCCGAACCATCAACGAAATGATCTCTAACCGCACTCTCACATACAGCTTTTAATGGATCCTTTTCATGAACTCTATCCATAATGTCACGAATGCTATATGAAAATTCTCGTACACTCTCTCCTGGTCGTTGGCGCCTTTCGTAAAATAATCTTAATAACTGCGATGTTGAATGTGGTTCGGAAAATGTTTCACGTAGTACTTTAAAGATACCGGTCTGGTCATTTTGAACTTGTCTAAGCTTAACTTTCGCTTTCGCATCTCCTTCTAAATACGAATATATGCTTCTGCTAACCTAGGCAAATAGCAGGAACATTCCTTTCTCTATTTGGGCATATATATTCTCTTTTAGTAAGAGCTCTTCTAGCATATGCCAAGGCTTTTTGGTTTTAACAAAGTATAATAAGAATATTAACAAAGGCATTAAACATTTTATTTTTTATTTTTTTATGTACATGTAAGACCCTTTTTTAGTCATGTAAGTGGATTTTTGAATAGATGTATACTGTAATCAAAGATTATAATTTCAGCATCGCGGAGTTTTTCACGAAGAAATTGATCAAAATATGAACAATAAACATGGGGATTAAAACCACTGAACCTATTGTGTCGGGATTCTACTAAATATTATTTTTGTGCTTAAAAATATGTGATTCAAAAAATAAAATGAAATGAAATTGGGTTTAACATCTTACTGTTCTGCTCCGAACTGGGCTAATGAAGACGGGCACACGCCATACAGTGTGCTATGAGGGAAATTTTGCCCGGACAGCGGCACTACGGCCTACTATTATATCGAATTCTGTCAAGGGATCTTTTACGTGCACGCCAATGTGTACACGGGACCCCTGTTTTTCGTCCCATCCGAACGACTAGACAATATATACATGTATATATATGTAGATGATGCTAGTACTAAAATCCCAAGACCAGATGAAGATACTGGTTGTACTGTTTACAGAGAAGTGGGTCTCGCCAATAGGGGACCTAACTCCAAAACATGCAGTGAGGCTCCGAATGTTGATCAGGATATCGTCCTGCAGAATAAAAACGACCTTAATACATTTAGTAATGCAGAGGACTAAGAAGATTATAAAATATTATATAATTTATTTCTGTTGATCAAAGTGCTATAGAATAAATATACATGACCGCGTGGTTCATTCAGTAATACTTGGTAATTTGAGTTAAAACAACTTATGTTGTTATATTTCAAATTGAAGCGTTGTGCTGCAGACACGTGGGCCAATCAGTTAAATGATGTTAGCAAGGAAACACTACACAGAAATCAGATTACACTGCTGATTAAAATACTTTTAAGACATAAAATTGCATACATAAAATAATTGTTATAAGATAGCCGAGGAAATACGCCCACACCATCAGCAATGTCTTTAACAATGATAACCATAGGCAGCAGCTAACCAGCTTGTTGATCAAATTTGATAAGGACCAAGCATGCTTCGACAAATCTGACTTCTATCGTATTCACAAGCTTGGAAAAAACCTGTAGCCTGTATCGCATTCACGGGGTTTTCGGAAAAGGTCGAGGTGTGAATTATTCAAACTAGATTTGAAAGAAATCAATTAACAACTGTAGCCTCTGTCTGGTTCTCAAGGTTTTCGGAATAGGAGGAACAACTGGAATGGAAGATTGCGGACCTCTCGTGGTCTCGTGGTACCATTTCTGCACACCAACTTTTTTTAAGACATCCGCCGTTAAAAACTGTTGCCTCTATCACGTTTACAAGGTTTTCGACAATGGGTGGCAACTTCTTAATGGAAGGTTACGGAGCGCTAAATATAAATTTTGTTCGTTCTGTCATGACCCCGATACTTCAAATCACATCTGAAAAAGATCTGTTAAAATCTGTAGCCTCTATCCCGTTAACAAGCAAGTTGTTGACGAATGTACATAAGTGACGACATAATAAAAATTGCAATGCTTACACGATGTAAAATTGCAATAATTGAGATACTATTATGAAAAGGTGGTAATATCAATGCAATATGGCCGCGCCGCAGGACAGTATTTGGTATTAGGTTTCTATAGAATTGAAAAAATGAAATGAAATGGGGTTTAACGTCCTACTGTTCTGCTCCTAACCTGGGCTAATGAAAACGGTCTATAGAATTGATATAAAGTGTACCAGTCAAAATACCCATCTCTCCCTCTCCTCTCTCTCATAGATGTACCGTAGGTTATATGAGACCAAGTCTACTGATGCAAAGTCATGCAAGTCCACTGACGCCCACTGACATTTTTTATACGCTCACATTTTCATGTGGACGTATTATGCCGTCGATCCTGTCCGCCCGTCCACAATTTCTTTGTGGACACTCTACAGGTCACAGTTTTTTATCCAATTTTGACGAAACTTGAAATATAGGCCTATCTCCAAAAGATCTCGGTTACTTTTGATATTGGCGTGTATCGGACCATAACTTCATGGATTATGGACAAAGATGGTACGAAAAATCACGTTTTTAGTTTGTGGACCCTAGAAATGACACTTTTTATCCGATTTGGATGAAACTTGAAACGTATGTCTATAATCCAAAAATCTTGGTTCCTTTCGATATTTGCGCATATCGGACCGTCACTTCCTGGATTATGGACCCTGATTGTACGAAAAATCCTGTTTTTAGCTTGTGGACTCTCAAAAGGTCAACTTTTTTTATCCTATTTAAAAAAAACGTTTAAATGGATCACCGTTACACCGTAATAAAGGTTTAGTTAGAATTTCGTGAAAATCGAACCGAAACTGCCTGACAAAATGACCACTCTTTGTAAAACTATGTAATACCAAGGTTGTGGACCCTCTAGAAGTAATAATTTTTATCAGATATTGATGAAACTTAAAATATATTTTTATGTCCCAAAGATCTCCATTCCTGTCGCTATTTGAGCATATCAGTCCGAAACTTCCTGGATTATGGCCCCTGATTTACGAAAAATCGAGTTTTTAGATTGTGGACCCTCTAGAGGTCACAATTTTTATCCGATTTTAAAAAACCGTTTAAACATATTACCGTTATACCATAATGATGGTTGACGTCGAATTTCGTAAAAAAAAAATGAACGACAATATTGCCGGTCCCAGTACGTAAGTATGTAATACCAAGGTTGTGGATCCTCTAGAGGTCACAATTTTTATCTTATTTTGATGAAATTTAAAATATGTATATATCCCGGAGATCTGGGTTCCTGTAGATATTCACGCATATCGGACCGAAACGTCCTGAATTATGGCCACTGATTGTACGAAAAATCACTTCATTTTTTGAGCTTGTTCTCTGTCCATCTCTTGCAAAATGTGGGCGTATCTTGCATGGCAACCGCTTGTCTTTATAGAATTCAGATAATATACCTCTTCTGATGTATATCTCAATGTATTGACTTGTGTATGCAATATTGAGTCCAGTTTACTTTCGTGACCGGCAATTAAAACCTATCGCCCAAACTAACGTTTTGTTTAGGTGCGTTACGCATCACGTGCAAAAAATTACCTGTATAAATACCAGGTAGAGCGGTAGAAGAATTATTTCCGTTTTAGAGAGAATAGTATACGTAATAGAAGTAGGTAAATTTTAATTTGGTAGTGCACGCAACATTGATTTTATTAACGTGTCGAGAAATATGCGGGGTTTTGGCATCATTGTAGTATTCTGGACATTTTACCGACACATGGCAATCCTCAAATATATATATAACCCATCTGCCGTTCACAAGTACTCGACACATGGAGGGGTGTTGGATGGCCGAATGGTTAGCACGTGCGCGCTGTATCATAAGGCCTGTCATTGAGTCAACTGGCGTGTTTTCAAATCCCCGGTTGTACGTGACAAGGAGTATGGTCGCCTGTCCACTGCTAGACCCCTTCGCGCAAGCGAATTATTGAATTAAAATTAAACCATGTTAGTCCCGAAATGATCTAGTTTGTGTCAGTGGACGTTAAACCTCTCCTCTTCTATTCTCTTCTCTCTTCTCTTCTATCTATCTCTATCTATCTCTCTATAGACACATGGAAGCTATAACAGCTTTACTTCAGCGAGTTCTGTTGGAAAGGATATATCGTACCAGTCTCGTGACGGTGGTAATTTGTCTTGCAATGGCGCAATTGTTTTTAAAGAATGCAGTTTCACATAATTATAGTTGTACTGGCCCTACCCCATGTCATGATTTTCAACATTCCGATTCTGTCGAATTCAAATTGTGTTTTTGAGAATTGGTTGCTGGTGTTAACGAGATCTTGAAAACATTTTAATGTCATGTATCTTCCTGATTTGATTATTGTATCAAGAATTGAAAGATTAGTGTATTCTTTGAGATTAACAATCCTTTACGAGAGGGTGCGATTCCTCTTGAATAAAAATTTTCGATCCAGAATTGTTTCCAGAATTTTTAATTTACCCATTCCATATTTATCTGTATTGAATGTTCATTTATATTCAGACCATGTTGATGCTTCAATTGGCCGTGTTTTTACAAGCTTTGGTTGTTGCGGCTAACTGGGATCTTGACCATTATAATGGCTACGATAAGAGGCAAGCCGGTAAACTTGTACGACCTTTTGGTTCAAACAGTAAGTTTATTTGTTAAATACCAGTTGAGGAGCAGATTCTTATGTCGCAGTAACCATGGAACAGTGAATCTGGCATATAATTAAAGTTTATCCGGACAAGATTTCGAAATCTGACGCCAATATTCAGTATCATCTCGAGCACATTTAGATACCAAAATTCAGACACTAAAGCTGTTGTCGGTGCATTTTTGATTACTCCCCATTCCAGGTGTTGTCACATTTTTTTTTACATTGCCCTTAACCTCGAAGAAAAGGGTCATCAAGGAAATAAATCTTTGCTTTAGAGCGTTACGTTTAATTTATCGGGAAATATGTTCGTCAACCGACAACGCGGCAAGAATTGGCCGTGGCACTGCAAGAGGAGTGGGTCAGATTACCCCAAATCGTGATTGGACGTTGATTAGGAGCATGCCACGACGAATTGCTAAATGTCTGAGGATTGTTGGAGCAATTACTCATTAAGACAAGTCAAAAACGTACATTTTCAGTGTATCTCTTTGCGATTAAAGTGGGGGCTGTCAGATAAGCCGCCCATATGAACTGTTAATGTGTAGGCAGTTGGCCTTTTATTAACATACTGGATACCTCTAGTAAAAACAGCAGTGCATTTCCGCAGTTTTGTATTGTTTCTGGATATCTTTTGAACCAAGGGTCACTATTCTTTGTTGGAAAATAATGAACAGTCCGTCCTGTTGGTGTCGGACTAGTTTGCAACAAGATGGTGTCACTTTACCTTTCCCAAATAAGACCGCGCATCAAACCACCACACTACCGAATTACACCATCTGACATTCAGAAAATATCAAAATTTATGTCGTTTGAATATTAGTATTTACGAATACATGGGTCATTGGCTAGATTATACTGCCTTTTTACATTTATCATGAACAAAAACTAAGCGAGGTAAATAACCCTAATACAAGATGTCGACGCCCATGAAATTAATTTAAATGCCATTTCAGAAAAAATAAAATCTTACTTGAATTGCCGGTTCAATATCCAACACTTTAATTTCTTTTATTGTAAAATATCTCTTAATTTCTTTTTATTGTAAAATATCTCTTCAAGCACCATATCTGTTTTTTTATTAATCGCAAATCGTCACCATGACTTTAATTTAAAAAAAAAAAATCCATTGCCCATGCGAACCCGTCCAAGGAATAGAACTACACTTTTTATTATAAGGTTCCAAAGAATAGCAATGTATAGGTCTTGGAAGCCACGGTGGGTAAGTAAGACGCTGACTCGTTAGCCTGGAGCTCTCGGGTTCTCTCCCAGCGTTGGCCGAGAAAGTTCATCGGGATTTTGCGGCGTGATTTTTATTTTCCCCTTGTCAGTGGTGCAGGACGAAGGGCCTGACAAAGGACACTCGTCTAGTCATTCGGATGGGACGAAAAACCGAGGTTCAATGTACACATTGTCGTTCACCTAAAAGATCCCTTGGTAGTTGGAATCCAATATAAGAGTAGGCCTTATCGCCGCTATCCGGGCAAAATATCCCTCATAGCACACTGTATGGCGTATGTTCGTCTTCATTAGCCCTATCAGGGCTGAACAGTAGGACGTTGAGCCCCATTTCATTTATCATCCATTGCCTTTAGATAGACTTGTTATCTAAAATGGGAATAACATAAATATATTATTTTGAATTATTAAAACTGTTTTACAGAAAAAGTGGTGCGTGTGGCTTCTAATACATTTATTAGATCTCTGAATTTCATTTGTGAAGTAACCAAAAGAGTAGAAAATGCTGAAATGGGAAAGGCTGTAGAAGAGGTGTTCGAAGGTTTAAAGGAATCGTGTGATGCTTACCGTCCAGTTAAAAAACAACTCAGTAAGTTTGTAAATGTTTACTAAAGCAAATTTAGATAACTGTTCGAACTGCATTCAAAATTTCTCTTAAAAGTGCACTTTGCGTGATCAGAAATTTAAAGTTGTATATACTCATCATCTGATTAAAATAAGATCTATATTTCGTTTCGTTTTTTTATATACTTTCGATGGCCTACACCACATGAAGATCTGACCAGTTGTTTTGGGAGGTCGCGTCAGAGGTCAAATATCGACTTTTGACCCCATGACGTCAGACATTTGAACCAATCAGCATTGATGTTTGTTGTAGATTAACCACAGTTCCGTCCACCTCACACCAAAAGCTCACCGTAACGGACCATTTCATTAGCAAATCACTCGCATCATCCAGAACACGTCAATAACAATTCTTCCGGATCCTGGTGTAGTAAAGACAAGTAAAACGAAATTTTGAACTACAAAAAAACGAAACGAAATGCGATCTGTGTTTTAATCAGATTGGTATATATCGAGACTCGATGAAACGTCGGCCCCAACCGGGAAATATTGCGCTAAACATGTCGACAATACCAAATTCCCTTGTGTATATACATTTGCATGCACATAAAAGAACCCTTGACGGTTGGAATTCGAAATAAGAGCAGGTCGAGACACCCATGTCTGGGCAAAATTTCTCCCATGGCACTGTTTTTGATCAGGTTTATCATTAATTTTTAAAACTTTTCCAATTCAGGAACTAGACTAAGACAGAAAATATTTTTGAAAGCGACCCCCCAGCCACAAGTTACTACTTCACCACAAAGAAGAAATAAACTGGAGAAAAGAGAACTGTTGAACGCATTACTTCAATTGTTGTAATAAAATGTTTGTAAAATGGGTTGACTTTCTCGTTTTATCTGTTAAAACCGCCGAATCTCCGGTTTGGCTAGTACAGTACACTGAAAAAAAAACTTGTGTTGGATCTCAACACAAGTACTTGTGTGAAAATTATTCTACACAAAACTTGTGTTGTTTTGCATTGCATTAACACAAACTTGTGTTCTTTTTAATGCATTAACACAAATCTTGTGGGTTTTTTCATATAATTAACACAAGTAATGTGTACCGTCAACAAATATTTTTTTTTAAATTTGAACTCCATACAAAGTCTTAATCCGGGCGTCCACAAGTATAAGAAAAGTATTTTTTACTCAGACATGATGGCCAGACAGACTTGAATGCTAATTGGTGTTAAGATGTCTGTAGTTAAAATAAAGTTGTTGATTTTTTTATGGGCCCAATAAACTGGTAGATCAAAGGCCTATTGAGCGCTCATGCCCGGTGTGATTTTAACAATTGACTCCAAATGCATTGACAAGAAAATAAGTTAAACTATTATTTAATGTGATTGGTTGATAAAATCAACGTACTATAGGCTACAGTTTGTCTGCGATATCATCTCTGTGCAACCGGACATTAAATGAATTGATTTCACACAATTCATTTACCATTTTAACAGCGTGCTGAAATGATTTTTGAGCAGTGATATGTTTGACAAATGTAAGCTAATGGTCACAGAGAATAAAAGACCGCAGGTTTGTGAATATTTATATAAAAAAAAATAATACCATTTATTTTATGATCAGTAGTGGAATACCGCGTTTTATCAGCGAAATAAAAGTGTTATTCCACTGGCTAGTTGTTTTTACCTAAAATGATTGTAAAATCATAAAATAAATAGAACATTACGCATTCGTGAAAATATAAGTTTTCTTGCTTCTCGATGAAATAAAATATGTTATTCACTCTAAAACGACAAATATCCTCTATGTATGTAATTTAGCATCGATATTGTTTTTGTGTATAATATTAGTATTTCGTTTCCTTTAAAAAAACTCCAACAATTTAACCCGGAAGTTCATGTTTAAAATGGCGGGCGGGGACAGGGAAAAAATTTCGGCATGTTATCAAATCTGTTCAATTTTTCTGAAATCGTGCTTAATTAACATTAGTTGTTCGGCGCTACGATGTTGTTCAAATACGTACATTACAGAATCACATTATGATTAAACCAGAAACGGCTCGACTTGAACCAGCAGGTAAGAATCTGTTTTGAAATTATATCTTGGGAGGTTGGATTGGATTGGCGGCCATTTTGAATCTTGTTTCATGATTTTTTTATATTATAAAGATTTTGCCAAGAGTAGACATAAACGCGGGCACAGACTAGAAAAAATCTTTTTACACTTTTGTGTTAGTTGAATTGTAATCTAATTTATGTTTAAAAAAACAACCTTAAATCAAATAAGCAGATATTTTCCCCAAACCCTCCGTTCAACCTCTGACTCTGTCACTCTGTGGAATATTATTAGGCCCCTATTTTCCTGATTCAGTCACAGTTAATAAATAATAAATAATGGAACTAGAATCAGTCTGTGGAAGTTTCTCTATAGTTTCATTATTTTTTCCAGTCAGTGATGATATGACTCATTCCACCTTACAGTTACAGCAATTACCGTATTGAGAATTTACCGTTCAAGGACTCCATTTTGGCATTGAATTAGAATTTGAAGAAAAACTGGTAACAATTTCATTTAATTTTTATATTTTCTATTTTTTTTTTTTACCAATGTCCTACAATGATTAGTGTATGTGAACATACAATCCCAAGTAAAGTATTTATATGACACTTACATGCAACAGAGAGAGAAAAATGACATAAACAAGGCCTTACGTGTACTTGTATTTGAAGAATCAAGTAGTCCAAGCTATGCCTACATGCATATACCGGTAATCAACTACGACGACGATTAGCTTTCTTCCGTTTCCACCCTTTCCCTGCACACTGTTCCATTCTACTTAGCCTACAGACGCTAGGTCGTTTCGGGAAAAAGGACAGGTAAGGTTAAATTTGATATGAATAATTCGTTTGCTGGTATGGGTATTTGGCAAACGGAGGAAACCGAATGGCCCAGAGAAAAACTCAAGAGATTGGACAGGCGACTCTACTCCTTGAAATCGAAACCATGCCACTTAACACAATGACAGACCCTGTGATTTCATGTGAATGCATTAACTACTAGACCATTCCCCCCAGCCCCAACCCATATTGAATAAAAGTATGGCTTATTTCAAATATATTTACATATAAAGAAAGTAGAGAGACGTCAATCTTACTAGAAAAATACTAGATTACCTGAAATGAAATGGGGTTTAAAGACAACGTCCTACTGTTCAGCTCCGACTGGTCTAATGCAGTGTGCTAAGAGAAAATGTTTGTCCGGGCAGCGACACTATGGCCTACTCTCATAGCGAATTCAAACTGCCAAGAGAACTTTTATGTGTACGCCAATGTGTACATTGGATCTCAGGGGAAACCACTCTGAAAAATCAAGATGAGCTTTCTTGGTCAACCCCAAGAGGTAACCTGTGGCCTCCATGCTAGTATTCCAGCACCTAACTCACTCAGTCACCATGGTCGTCTTCTAATTACTGCGACATTGAAACCATGTGACAAACAAGGATTATAAAAATAGATTTTTACGGCTTAGGTAGTTCCTTGGGATTAAAATTTTTGATACATATAGATACATTAGTTTCAATTTCAAATCACACAGTTTGTATATATGGTATGGTAGCTTTAATGGTAAATTACATATCATGTATTTATTTTTTCAGTTTCAATATTGGATGTATATGCAAATCACCCAGGAAAAGATCATGTAACAAAAGAAATTATAAAAGTAAAAAAATGGAAGAAGAAATGGCTGGAAAAAATGATGATAGAGCAGCTTTTTCTTGGTGGGTAACTATTCAATTCTTATAGAAAAGATTGCTGTTATGCTATTTTGAAATCTAAAATTCAGTTTAGTATAGTAAAACTGTACACGTACATGTATGAGCACAGACAGAATCTTAGTTAGATATGACTGTCTCATCTGTGGCAAAGCAAACCAACACATGAAACAAAACAAATGTAGTTAAATTAACATTTTTTGACTTAATCAAAACTGTCTAGTCAATTTAAGCCAACTAATGTAATAAATTGCATATTTTTTTTCAGTTAGCCACCTCGGAAGATCAAGACAGCTGGAAAGGGCTATTGATATTGTGGAAGTGTTTTCTTACAGAGGTTGCTTATCAGACAAAGGCTATGTAAGTACCATGCATATTTGCTTTTTGAATCAGGAACTGGTTCTATACACTTGGTGGGGGGGGGGGGTTGGATGGCCGAATGGTTAGCATGTGCGTGCTGTATCATACGGCCTGTCATCCTCGGTTGTACGTGACAAGGAGTAGGGTTGCCTGTTCAACCTCATTGGTTTTCTCCAGGTCCTCCGGTTTCCTCCCACTGCTAAAGACCTATATGACTTCAAAACTATAAGATGGATGCAATGTTACACCCTTTCATAATCATTATTATAAAGCGTTCAAATGCATGAATTTGTAAAATATAATTAATATCATATTGTAATACTGTTTGCAATACTGTATTCACCACTGCCTTAGTGGTGATAATTGGTAAATTAAATGATTATTTTTTCATTTTGTCTTTTTTTCAAGACTTTTGTTCTGGCTTCTGACCCATTGAGGCATAATAATCTACCTGGGTCTGTAACTTGAAAAGACACAATAAGTATTATGCAAAGTTGAAACAAAATAGAGACTCAACGTGTGGAAAAATAAGTTATTTATTTAAAAATTGTGAACCGTAGAAAGTATATTTATTGCCAACTCAACCACATACTATCATCCAGGGTTTATGGACCTACTTATAGTCCAACCTTCGATGGGTTGTATGTTCAATCTAGTTGGGGGTGTACGATTGAACATACAATAATTCAATAACTCACTTCTCTTAGTATAATCTTATATTCTGTAACAATATCTAACAATGATAATATATACATATAATACTGACCCACAGGCTAGGTAACTTAATAAGGAACAGCATCTAAGAAATAACTTGTCACTATATCAGAGACCTGCCCTTCAGTATGTCCTGATGCCTGCCTGTGGTTAACTCACCTTTTTCTAATATACAATTTTCAGGACTTTTATACCTTAGCTTTGTTTCTTAGTTACCCTAACTTTATAATCCTTAATACCTTACTGGATTAACTTTACAATAGATAATAATTTATGAAACAATGTCTCTCTAATATAATTACAGAGTTTATTTTAATTAGGATTCTGGCTAATCTATAATGGCTCTGGCCTCAAATTAACTATGCTCTAATTCTACCTGGTCATAATACTTGAATATTAAGCCATCAAATTATTTTATAATTTTGAAAATGAAATGAAATGGGGTTTAACATCCTACTGTTTTGCTCATAAACTGGGCTAATGAAGACGGGCATACACCATACAGTGTGCTATGAGGGAAATTTTGCCCGGGCAGTGGCGCTACAGCCTACTCTTATATCGAATTCCAACTGCCAAGGGATCTTTTACATGCACGCCAATGTGTACACAGGACCTCGTTTTTTTATCCCATCCAAACGACTAGACAGCTGTCCTTGTCAGGTCCTCCGTCCTATATCACTGACACGTCGGAAAATCTGGATGAACTTTCTCAGCCAATTCAGGGATCGAACACCCGACCTCCAGGCTAGTGAGCCAGCGTCGTACCCTCTTAGCCATGTGATCTCCTTATAATTTTGAAAAAGAATATAGTGATTGTAAAAGCTAATAAGTTATCAGTTGCATTTTATTTTTGTTTTTAATGTAAAATATCCCTCTCCAACACAATTATAGTTTAATTCTCTCCAGAAATTTGTGTAAAATATAGACTGTAAATTAAAACTTTCATCTTTTAACTGTTGAGTCAATTTAAGTCATCTAATACATAGTATGTTTTTTTCCAGTTAACTACATCAGAAAGATAAAAACAGT